GCCCGCTTGGGGGCCCCCAAGGGGGCCCCCAAGCGGGCAAGGCCCCCGGCACGGCAGCAGCAGCAGCAGGAGCAGCAGCAGGAGGAGCAGCAGCAGCTGCTGCTGATGCTGCTGGATCAGCTAGTCTTGCTGCTGCTGCTGCGGGGGAAGCAGCGGGAGGAAATGCAGCAGCACCAGCGAGATGTGTATAGGTATAAGGAGCTGGTGCTGCTGCTGCTGCTCCTGCTGCTGCAGCAGCTGCTGCTGCTTCTTGAGGCGAGAGGAACCCCCCAACGGGCGGGAGGACGCTCATGGGGCTACGTAGCCTGAATGTTAGGGTTTAGGGTTTAGGGTTTATGGTTTAGGGTTTATTGATATTGGAGTCAATATATTGCTTGGTTTATAAAAAAAAGAAAAAAAAACAACTGCTGCTGCTGCCTCGTGAGGTGTATGTACACCTGCGAGCCAGCGGTGCTGCTGCTGCTGCTGCTGCTGCTGCTGCAGCGCGGCGTCTCGGGGTGTATGCGATGGAGAAAAGGAAATAAAATAAAGAGAGAAATAAAAAGACAAAACAAAAGAAAAGAATAAAAAAGAAGAAACAAAGAAAAAGGCTGCTGCGTCGATGCTAGAACGAGTCTCGATACTATATCTCTCGCTGCTGCTGCTGCTGCTGCTGCTGCTGCTGCTGCTGCTGCTGCTGGTGGAGCTGCTGCTGCTGCTGCAGCTGCACGCGAACTCTTCCTTCTTCACAGCTGGGTGAGTTGAGAGTTTTAATATATAAAATAATTAAATATTTTAATTTAATATTTCAAAAATATTTATAAACAAAAACACAAAAACAACACCGACCAACAGCCCCGGTCGGCAGCGGTCTACCGCTGCCGCTGCTGCTGCTGCTGCTGCTGCTGCTGTTGCTGCTGTTGCTGCTGCTGCTGCTGTCTCATCTTTTTAAAAGAATTTTATTTATACTAGCAGTTCTACCAACATAAGTACAACCGCAACGTAGTCAGCTAGCAGCAGCAGCAGCAGAAGCAGCAGCAGCAGCAGCAGCAGCGGTAGCAGCTGCCTCTGCTGCATAGGTAGCAATAGCTATAGCAGCTGCAGCAGCAGCAGCAGCAGCAGCAGCAGCAGGTGATACCTGCGTGCGCTCTCTCTGTTATATTTAAATTCCTCTATCGCTGGTGCATGCAGTGGAGGGGCCCCCACCAGCCATGAGTAGACAGTCGATAGAAAAACACAGCACGGGGGCCCCCCTGTAAACCCTCACCTGGGGGCCCCCAACGACTCCGGGGGGCCCCTGCTGCTGGGGGCCACCAATAACCCGGGGGGCCCCCTGTTGCTGGGGGCCCCCAAGTACCCTGGGGCCCCCGTGCTGCTTGGGGCCCCTGGGGGCCCCAGGGGGCCCCCAGGGGCCCCCCACCGCGCAGATATGTTGGGTTGCCTGTAGCACCTGGCAGTGTAAGAAGGAAAAAAGACAATAAAAATAAAAATAAAAAAAGAAGAAAGTAGAGATAGAAAGGAGACAGAAAGAGAAACGAAGAAACAATAAAAAAAATATATATACAAAGATAGAGAAATAGATAGAGAGAGACAGAGAGAGACAGAGAGAGAGAGAGAGACAGAGAAAAAAGGAGAGACAGAAATGAGACAGAACGAGAAGAGACAAAAGAAAGAAACAAAGAAACGTACAGACAGACAAAGGAGACAGACAAAAAGGAGACAAAAAAAAAAAAGAAAGAGAAAAAGAGAAAGAACAGCAGAAAAGGAAAAGAGAGAAACAAAAAAAACAAAAAAAATAAAAAATAAAAAAATAAAAAAATAAAAAAAAAAACAGTTTACCTGGGCCTCCAATCGAGACAAACGGCCAGGGGGGGCCACAGCCAAATCCACCTAAAGGCAGCAGCAGCAGCAGCAGCAGCAGCAGCGACGTCAGCAGCAGCAGCAACGGCAGCAGCAGCAACAGCAGCAGAAGCAGCAGCAGCAGCAGCAGCAGCAAAAACATTAGCAGCTGCGACAGCACGGCGAAAGCTACAGAGAAGCCAGCAGCAGCAGCAGCAGCAGCAGCACTGCAGGGATAGCAACAGCAGCAGCAGCAACAGCATCAGCACCAGCATCAGACGCAGTAGCAGCAGCAGCAGCAGCAGCAGCAGCAGCAGCAGCAGGTGTTGTACGTGTCTGTGTAGATATCGTATGAGGGGCAGCGGCATTGCTGATAGCACCGCCTGAAGGGGCCCCCCTTCTTCTTTATTTGTTGCTGCAGCAGCAGGGTACTCTGCTGCTGCTGCTGCTGCTGCTGTTGCTGCTGCTGCTGCTGCAGCAAGGACAGCAACCACTGCCTGTCGGCCCGCCGATATCTCAGAGCAACTCCTTGGTGCTGCTGCTGCTGCTGCTGCTGAATCTGCTGCTGCTGCTGCTGCTGCTGCTGCTGTGGGGCACT